TTTATTTCAAATTAGAACAAAACATTAATGGAAGTAATACCGTAAGAGTTCAGATTTCACCCAATATTTTTACGGCTTTTTCAGGTACTAACTTTGATTTGAAATTTAACGAGCGCCATTCTGATTCGTGATTTTGTCAATAACAAATAACGTTACTGGATATATGGCAAAATTTTCTTTCTTTATTGTCATCTTTCGGAAAATATTTTATTATATTAAAAGCGACCAGTTAAAGCATCATTATTTTATTTTTATTCATTAAAATAGTACATCTTACAGTTTGCTACTCACCTCCTCGCCAAGCTAATTCATAGGCAGCGATATTAAATAGTAGTTTTTCGCCTACCATATGTGAAAATGAATCATATCAACCCTAAAAATATGACCGAAAGTAACGTATATCGTACCATGGGCTGCTAAACTCATAACAGCCCGATTTTGTAGTTTTTCACTAGATATCTAGATATCTGTCACTTGCGTACTTTGATCTTTCACATAAATTTTGATTAAACGTCAGTGTAAGTCTATTAGTGAACATCAGACATTACAAGTGAACATGAATAGTCATTCAGACAGTGACGAAGAATTTACAAATACTCCACCAAACTTGCAAAAGGAAGCCAACAATGTTTCTCTAAATTTACTACCTACTAAGTCAAGAGAACGATACGAAAAGTACTATGAATTGTTTAACAACTGGAAAAAGAGTAAAAAAGCAAAAAACCTAACTGAAATGTAGTACTTGCTCAACTTTCTGAAAGATCAAAGATTATAAATGCAGGTACACTATGGTCTGAATTTTGAATGTTGAAAAGCACTTTTAATGTCAAAGAAAATATTAATTTTGATAATTTCCATAAAGTTCGAGCATTTTTGAAACAGTATTCTGTGAATTACCTGTCCAAAAAATCCAAAACCTTGACTCAAGAACAATGCATTAAGTTTTTTAAGGAAGCACATGATTCTGAATATCTTATGATGAAGGTAAACAAATAGATTAATACATATAAACTAATTTCTTTTTTTACTAATGTTAAATTGTAAATTTCTTTTTTGATGGGGTTATACGGCAGCTTGTCGCAGAACTGAATTGTTGAATATGAAGCACATAGATATTAGAGGAGATATATTGATTGTTACAGTTCCAGAAACAAAAAATATTATAACAAAGACATTAACAATCACAAACAAAACAGTTGATGGATTGAATCTACTTACAATATACAATAAATATATTACCCCTAGACCTACCCACACTTCTCACAATTGGTTATTCATTTGTTACAAGAGTAATAAATGTACAGTACAACCGATCGGAAAAAACACATTCAGCAAAATTCCAAAAAAATAGCCATTTTTTTGAAACTGCCTTAGCCCAGTACACACACAGGAAATTGCTTCCGCCGTAGCTCCCAACCCTTCTTGCTAACTGTAGGACCGATTTGGTAACACTTAACAAGCATGGCGTTCTTCTGCAGTTGCAGAAGGATATATCGATGACTGCTTATCAAATTAGATTAATATATCTCAAAAAATTCTGGCAAACCAATAACAACAGCCTATTAGCAGAAAAACACACCTGAAGTGTAAAATAGTTCTGACCAAATAAATGAATTGCCAGTTAATCTAGATAATTCCAATGCATCATCAACTTCATTCATAGAAATAAGTCACCATACTGCTAGCACTTCAAACACCTACCAAATGCTTATAAATTCTGGTATAACTATCCATAATTGTGCTCAAGGGATAATTCATATTAATTAATACAATAAATAAATTCGTACATTTTACTAGTTAAGTTTCTTGTATTTGTGGGAGGCTAAAGCTCATTTTCTGCCCTTGTGACACAATATACTATTGTACAACAAGGGTGGATATGATATTATGGCATCGTTCTCAATCGTCTGAGTTTGATACGGACAATACACTCGAGTTGTACAGTATATTTTTTGTACGTCCCAGTAACGAAAAATCCACAAATTTAAAAAATTATTTTATATTATTAACATAAAATAACTAATTTAAAAATCAATTATGACATAATATTTATAAAATTTGAAAAAAAAAGATATAATTTAATTATAATCCTAGATTTGAACCCATGATCTTTCGCGTGGCAACTCCATCGATACACCCAACATTTTAGTTTTAAAACTCATAATTAAATTGATTTTATATGGTTTTGTATTAAAATGTTTGATTAGTTGTAAATATAGGCGAAATAAAAATGCTATTATTTATCGATTATTCACAATATATGTGTATATTTAACCTCAATAACTAAAAAATATACTGACAATTAGACAGAATTGTCACTTATTTAAAATTGAAAAAATAATAGTAGCCGGGTGACCAAAATATGAACTGTGATTGATGGATTTCATGTGTGTGCAGTGTTCTTTATAGGTAGAATGGATATGAAATATATTCGTTTAGTTGAAGGGAAAAATAAAAGAAGGTGAAGAATAGGATAGTGAAAAGGAAACAAAGGATAAAATATGCATAATAGGAGTAAAAATCGCAGTAAAAGAAGATAAAGATGAAGTAAGAAAAATGGTCAAATGCAACATTGAAGGGAAAAGATTAATAATTGTGAAACTAAATACCGGAAGCTTGAAATGTACAGATATATGGATTGATGAAGACTACCCAAAGGAAGCAAGGGCGGCTCCAAGACAAATTTTCAGGGGGAGGGGGTTGCCTTTAAGCCATTCCCTTTAGCCATTCCCTTTTTAGCATATTGTTTGAATAAAATGCTCAAATCGTAAAAAATTTCATGTTGGGGAGGCTATGGCCCCCATAGCCCTCCCCCCCTAGAGCCATCCTTGAAAAAAAGAAAGTCCTATAGAAAAGGAGGAAGCTGATAATACAAATGAAATAAACAATGACTAAAGGGGCCACAAAGCACAATTAAGATACAACATCTTAATAGTAAACGAGTTGTACAGGGAACGAGGAAGGAAAAAAAGACGGAATATATGGAAGCAACAGTCAACAGAGGACTGTAGATGAAAGGTCACCGGAACAAAACTGACTTGATGAACAAGTACCTACAAGTTCGATATGGCTATTATATCCAATCTTGTTGCACAAACTACTATTTTCTACACCCACATGGATATTAGCTTATCTACGCACAGACTACAAAACAAAAAATAATGCTATTGGGTTCAACTGAACGAATATATTTCATATCCATTCTAGGTAGTGAGAAAAAAATTAAATCCACCAATCACAGTCCATATTTTTGACACCCAATACTATTATTTTTAAAATATTAATTCTGTCAAAATGAATTATTTTTGTGTAGAATCGATAAATAATAGCATTTTTATTTTTATTTGGTACATTTTGAAAAAAAAATAAAATTTTCATCAAACTATATGAAACTAATTTAATTACGAATATTAAAACTGAAATCCTAAAACTGGCGGTGGAGGTGAGGACATAGCGTCTGCTTTTCACGCGAAACCCCCCGATTCGAAACTGGGCTGGGGACTTAACTTTTTTCTTTTTCATGTTTATTTAATAAATTAGTTAATTTTCATAAAATATTGTAAAATTATTTATTTTGTCTTAATCTAAAATCATTTTTAAATTTGTAAATTTTCGTTAGTGAGTCGTAGAAGAAATATACTGTACAACTCGAGTGGATTGCCCATATCGACTCTTGTAGCACAAACTACTATATTCTACACCCACATGGATATTAGCTTATCTACCCACATACTTTAAAACGAAAAAATATGCCATTGCTTAAACTGAACGAATATATTTCATTTCCATTTTACCTAGTAAGAATACTCCAAAAAAATGAAATTCACAATTCCTATTTTGTTTACTAGTCTAATATTATTTTTAAATTTTATATGAGTGACAACTCTTGTCAAACTAATTGTTAGTATATTTTTTTAGTTGATATTAAATATACATAAAAATGAATTATTATTGTGTAGAATCAATAAATAATAGCATTTTTATTTTTATTCCGTCTACATTTAGAAATATTTCTTAAATTTTATTTAAACCCTATGATACTAATTTAATTACGAGTATTAAAACTAAAATCGTAAGTGTGGCAGTGGAGGTGAGGCATTAAAATTAGTTATTTTGTCTTAATAACCCAAAATAATGTTTTAAATTTGTAGATTTTCGTTAGAGAGTCGTAGGGTCGTAGGAAAAATATACTGTAAAATTCGAGTAAATTGTCCATATCCACTCTTGTTGCACAAACTACTATTTTAGAAGGCCTATCGGAGTATTTTTATCCCATATTAATGCTATTTTAATAATTTCACTTAATGTTACAACACTTTCCTTACGCTTTGAATTACCTGTATTACTGGCTTTCTTAATTATCTACGAGTAAAATCATCAAAGGGGTTGAAATTACCATGAAACATCATACTTTGCAAAGTTTTAGCTGTTGCGTTCCACATTGTTTTTAAAACGTATTCTTTTTAATCATCCCCAATCTTTTTCTTAATATTAATACTACATAGATTTTTCGCATTTTTAGGAGTAGAATTATTTCTGCTTCGCAGATATTTCCGAATCTCTTTTTTTAATACAAAATTTACATTTGACAGTTTCAAACTGAAGCCACATACAAATAAATAACAAGTGCAAATCGTTACCATGGTAACGTAATTTTTGCGCTTGTTTTCATCCACTTACATTTCTGTTTTGTCCTATTTTAGTCGACAACAAACTACGATTTTTGTGTTAACAAATGGTGTTTTTTTTCACGAGTGAAAGTGTCAAACAAAGAATGTGTAACTTAACTGTACATATTTATGTCACTCTAATTGACAGAACAAGTGACAGAACAAATTTAAATGAATTTATTCCAATACCTACTTGAAAAGAAATCTGAGAAAAAATTTGTAGAATAATAGTCGGACAATGAAAACAAAAAGTAGACTCTTTGGACTATGCCATTACCAAATACTCAATCATTCACTCGAACATAATTTTAAAACTTTTTAAAAACTTACCCCTGCTATAAGTGGTCTAGAACCAATATAATAATGACAGCAACACTTAAAAAAAAGGTCCTTTTTAAGTAACCTGAAAATTTTAAAAATATTTTTTAAAATTGAATTGAAAAAGAACTTAAAACAAAATTAATTAATGATAATTTGTATATTTTTAAAACGATATTTTTCAAAACTATTTAAGTACGACATATGAAAACTTTATTCATAAAATGTGCCAACATTTTTTAGACACTGTATTTTAGTATATTTTTTATTTTAAAAATGTGAAAATAGTCCCAAAATTATAACTATTAATTTGTATTCAACACTAAACAAAAAAAACTCAATTAGGTATTTTTTTAATATTTGCAATGTTTTTATTAATATCAGTTAACGGCCAATCATTAAATTCTAATAGTAATAAAAATATCCGTAACCAACAAATAATTAATTCGCACTTTTAGCTGATTAATATTTCCCCAAAAACTGTTGATTTTAAAAATGTGAATTAAATACACCCATTAAAAATCAGGTAATAAATCTGGTAAACGTGTGGTCAAAACTACCCAACATACTAGTTTGAAATAATTATATGCAAATAACCTAATAAACAAATGGTTGATTTTATAAAATATCTCAAAATAAAATTAATTATTAAATTCACTTTTTATTTAAAAATAAGTTAATATTAATTTTGTGTCAATAGTTACATAGATGGATTTTAAAAATTACCACCTTCGCAATATAGTAAACCAAAAATAACCGTAAAATCAAATTGGTTAAATTTTTTTATCACAGCATTTTTCTTATTGATAATTTAATCTATACCAAATAACAATAATTAATATACATTATAATTACAATAAATGTATTGATACCCTTTAATTAAAAAAAAAATAACTTACCTTAACTATAAGTGGTTCGCAAAAAAAAACAACACACTTAGAGGAACGACCAGCGCCAACTGAATCGGGAGATCCCCCCAAATTAAAGCGCTCGCTGTCTTATTAATAATAATTGCGTCAATTTGATTATTGCATCCAAGTACGACCAAAAGCACGGCAGACTTTGTTACTCGAGTTACTATCACAACTCTTCCTTTGGTGCGCCCTGTATACAGTGGATAATCGTACTTTCACTATCATTTTTCCACAATCAAATCTAATCAAATTTATTAGTCAGTCTTTTTGTAAAGCATAATAGAAGCAGAGGCGTATATTATCTAGTGTTAGAAAGGATATTTTTAAGTTGAAATCATAGATATAGGATTATAGTCTAGTTAACAAGTGCTTTTTGGGTCAAACTTTTTTTTTCGCCTCCGAAAAATATGAACGAGATGTCCTTCGATTCAGAATAGCGTGTAGATGGTTTTTGAAAAAATTCAAGAGCCGCTTGCAAAAATTGCAAAAGTTATAAACAATTAACTAAAAAAATAATTGGGTTTGGTTTTTTAAAAATATCTCAAAAACTATTTGACATTTTCAAAATTTGAAAAAAGATTCAAAAAGAAGAGGAAATTTCCCCAAAAAAATGTTCTACCATTCGAAACTGTAGTACCAATATTTATCATTTTCAAAGGGGGTTGAAAATACGGCTGAAAACGGAGACTCTGATGGTATGTGTAAGCTTCGCCCACTATGGACCTTTAATGAATAAATATTATTTAAACTTATTAAATATGAAAATTACGAATTAAAAAAATTCAAGCACCTACTGGATAGATGAATGAACAATAATCCGCTGTCAAAAAATTTTTATCACGATTTTTCTATTAATTATGCATTAGTTAATCAACAATTTATTCCTACTTAAACATTAACATTGCAAGTGCCGATGATTGTTAAATAACAAATCTGAGATTTGTTTCTTCTTTGGAGCAATTTTTGAACGGTCTCAGAAGAGATTCCCGTTGGAAAAATTAAAAAATTGTTATTTTTCACTTTATTAACAATTTACTTAGGTTAAAAATTAAGAAGCTTCATTAATCATTGAAAAATTTTTTTTTATATTACCATTGATCAGTTTATTTATCATCAAACCACATGAAAATGATTTTAACAAATTTTTATTTCCCATTGTTTTAAAAATTGTTATAAATGCGTTGTTTATAAGATAATTTAAATTTTTCTTTTTTGGAAACGTAACCTTTGATGTAAATTATGATTTAAAAAAAATTGTTCCTTAAAAAAATGTTTTATTGCTTTAAAATGGATTTGTTAGTTAACAATTTGTTTTAATAATAATTTATCTTGCTCTTTGATAACAAAAAAAATATTTTTATTTAATATTTCATTGTTTATTAATTATTATTAATAATCAATTTGTTATAAACAATTACATTTTGGGCTTAATTTGTCTTTTAATTAATAAAGACTAAATAGGTCTTGAGTTTTTTCATCGTATCTTAATTAGTCTAAAAGTTGTATTAATTTAAAAGACCAGGGGCCTATTTCATAAAAATGACTTATATTATTAGTAAATAATATTAGACTCATAAAATAATAATATAAGTTGGCTGTTTTCTGTTTCACAGATTATTTTAATTTACACATATTATTAGTGACAGAATCTTTTCTAATATATTAACAGCATGGCAGCTACCTACTAGATCTAGTGTCCTTATTGAAGTTTAGTTGATATGTCAAAAGGTAGTATTTTTTAATTGTGAAGTGACATTCTTATTGAAATAAAAGATGCCTAAATTAAGCAAAATGGAAGAAAAGAAAATGAAAAATCAAAACTTTTTAAGAAAAATATTAGAATTAAAGAATGAACTTTTTGGTCAGTTTTCTACTACTATTACCAAAGAGTCACGGAAAACAGCATAGATAAATGTAAGAGATTATGCTGTTTCAATAGGTCTAATAGAAAGCGACAAAGAGTTTTGTTATGTACGCGACGCAACTTGGCCTAACCTAAGGTCCAGAACAATGATAAGTGTTATCTTTATTTATAATACGACTACATAATAATAGTCCATTTAAAATAACGGTAAAAGGTCGAGAAACGCCGCACTTGACGAGACCACTTGTCCCCTACGTATTTTGGGGGGGCTGATTACGAAAATGAGGGTTAAAACTGGCTGCAATGGTTGGAACACCCCTAAAATTGCAAAAAACACCCATAAATAAGGGTGTTTTTCGACTATACTTGTTGTTTTGCAAACTAACTCATCTCATATGTTTTTTGGGGCGCTGATTACGAAAGTCGGGGTTAAAACTTGCAGCAATGGTTGAACCACCCCTAAAATTGCAAAAAACACCCCTAAATAGGGCAGTTTTTCGACTGTACTTGTTGTTTTGCAAACTAACTCATCTCATATATTTTTTGGGTCGCAGATTTCGAAAATCGGGGTTTCGAGGCTGTAAAATTTGTGTGACACCCCCCACATTCCAGAAACACCCCTCCCAACCGGTGAATTTTAGGGGTGGTTCAACCATTGCTGCAAGTTTTAACCCCGATTTTCGTAATCAGCGCCCCAAAATACGTAGGGGACAAGTGGTCTCGTCAAGTGCGGCGTTTCTCGACCTTTTACCGTTATTTTAAATGGACTATAAATGCAGTTATTTACTTTAATTGTATTTCAATTGCATTCTATAAGATATCGCCACATTTAAGAATTAGTTTTTAATACATAATGCTTTAACAAAGCTTATTCAACATTGGTGTGTCTAAATAATGGAAACATTGTAATAAAAATCCATCACATTAGAGCCTAAGGTATATTATACCTTTTAGTACTCTAAAACTTCTGACTATTTTTTTAATTTTTTAACCGACTTCAAAAAAGAAGGAGGTTATCAATTCGTCGCGATATTTTTTTTTATGTATGTTCAACGATTATTCTTTAACACGGTGTCCGATTTCAATGATTCTTTTTTTGTTAGAAAGGGGGTATTTCAAGGGTGGTCCCATATAAATTTAGTCAAAATCTTATAATTGGGTCCATGAGAAAATCCTCAAACTCTTCATTTTTTATGTATGTTCAGCGATAATTTTTTAACACGGTGTCCGATTTCAATAATTCTTTTTTTGTTAGAAAGGGGCTACTTTAGGGGTGGTCCCATATAAATTTGATTAAAATCTAATAATTGGATCCATGAGAAAATCCTCAAATTCTTCATTTTTTATGTATGTTTAGCGATAATGCTTTACCACCTTGTCCAATTTATACGATTCTTTTTTTGTTAGTAAGGGGGTACCTCAGGGGTGGTCCCATAAAAAAGATGTGGTGATGGCATCTACACGTTTTTGAAGTCGGTTTCTTTAAATTTTTAATTTGTAATACTTGTTTATAACACAGGTCTGCAACAAAAAAATGATCTGTTTTTGAAAACAGCACTAAAAAATACACTATAAATCAGTTATTTGGACAATTTTAAAAATATTTTTTGCATCCTGTGTAATTAATGCTAATAGTTTTTTATTTTACTATTGAACCGTCCTCACTTGTAAAGCATATAAAAGATTTTTATTTGATTACAGACAAAAATTGACCAATCAAATAAAACTGGCGCACAAGGAGGTCCCGAATCAAAATTAGATGACACTGATAAACTAGTTATAGAAATAATTGGAAAGGAATTGGCGTACCCGATTCAATGAAAACTGTTTCCGAAGTTAAAGACATTACAAAGGACTTTAGTTATTCTATGCCCAATGAAAACAATGATAATGGCACCACAAAAAGCAAGTGCTCGCTTTAACAAAGTTCATGTAGAGGTAAGACTATAAAGTTACTAAAATTATTTCAAAACAAGTCAACCTAGTTTCTAATTCAGATGTATACATATATTATTTTTGTAGGTAAGAAAAGAGTTATCGTTCATCTACCAGATGATGCTAAGAACATTCAATCTCTTAAAATAAAGAAACTTCCGTCCGTGTGTGTATGTATGCCGGCTCAATAACTCTAGAACGAAAGTTTTAATTGACTTGCGGTTTTGATTTTCTTGAATAAACACTTCTAACTTAGAACCCTATTGATTTTCAGAATTTTCGGTTCGTCCTAACTACTTTAATATCAATTTTCTTAAAATCTGCTTATGCATTTCTTATGTGACAATTTTAGGAACTCCAATTATTTCTAACGTTAATATTCCTAACATTCTTTACATTCCGTAAATTGCAAATATTCTCTAACGACCTGTTAAACAACAGCTGTTGATAGTAAAAGTGAAATTTCTAAGGCGGATTGCGACCTTCATATTTGCAATTATAGCTATTTTGGAGGCTATTTTTATTGGAAATTAGTCGCCAAGCCTGCCAATTTATGAAAAATATATAAGCAGTTTCTTAAAAATTACTTTTTTATAGTGGTGCTAACTTAAGCGTACTACTATTTCGTCCCTAGCCACAAAAACACCTTCATCAAATTTACTAGCTCTCTGTCGCAACCCCATAGAATAATTAACTTGCCATTTTATTTGGCAAAAATCAGAATAATGCTTAGATGTGCCTGTTAAGTATCAAGATGTCAACTGTGATGTGGAAATGGCTCTTAAATGTCAAATTATTTAAAAATGTATGCTTCTTTTGATATTTATTGCAAATAATTTGTAGTGTATCTCAATTAAGGCTTTCCATAAATAAACGTACAGCAAGAGAGATAATATTATGTGCACTTTTTTATTATATAAAAGAGATGTAGGATAAAATGCTGGTTTACATATTCAATCAGCGAATTGTAAATAATAATTAGTAAACTCCAAGTCATACATTTCCTCAATTCATAAAATTTAAAAATGAATCTTCTTACCTTGGGATTTTAATGACTTAATGTGATCAACCCATTTCAAATTTTGATCAGTTATGATACCGAGGTATTTTGTTGTTTCTCATTTTAATTATAAAGTTGTCATTTATTTGTATCTTGAAAGAAGGCCTTTGTAAATTACATTGCTCTCTATGGATCTACTTTAACACAAAAAGTTTTGTGGCTATCGTCTCAAAACTATTAATAATTTAAACATAGTAAGTAATAAAACGAGGGGTAAAATAA